TATTTGTTTATCTATAATGTCCAAAATGCCCTTGTTCATGTAAAAATTCATGTATGTGTATGTGACAACTTTTGTCTCGTGTGACTTTCTTTTAATAGACATCTTATAGGTTTTTGTTTATTGTCAGAGAAATAGTTATGATTTTGTATTTTGGATGATAGAAGAAAATTTTACTACACAAGCACTTTCAGTAAAAATCCATTAGAGTGCTCCATCAAACTTATGTTTAAAGGCGTTGGAAGAATAATCAATTTTTAAATAATTATGCATTGCTAATTTTGCATTAATTGGTGTGGTTGGGTTTTTGTAACTTAACATAATTTAATTTTCTCAAAAGATAATTTATTTTCTAAGAGTTGATTTGATTCATGTTTAAAAAAATATGTTTTATTTCTTAATTTCCTAAGTTCTAATTTTAAATCCATTAATTTAGCATACTAATATGAAGTATGCATCCCTAAAATCATTAGAAGAAAACACTTAATCACCTAGAATATCTCCAGTTATAAAATAAAAAAAAAACTAATTTAGTTTTCATTAAAAATTATAATAAATTAGAAAAATTAGTAAAATGGCATTTTTTTTTGCTTGTTTCAATTAAAATAGGACAAGACTGTATTTAAATTGGAATAGAATAAAATCAAAAGAGTTTTGAAATTAGAATCTAGAATAGTTAAGTCTATTGCAATTATAAAATAAACTAAAATACATAGGTGTTTTACTGTAGCAAACATTCCAGCAAACATATTGACAAACTTATTTTACTGTTTATATCACTATTTATAGCCAAAATTTATTAGTCCCTAATATTTTTTTACACTACCCTCATTTAATTTTATTTTTTTTGTTATTTCATCCTTGCAAGTAAAGGTTTCATGATTTTATGTGTTAGGATTTGTTTCGTTTTGCATGATCTTGTGTATGCAATGTGAATATTTCAAAGTTAAATTACATATTAATATTAAAAAATAGAATATTAACTAAACAACAAGACTATTTTTTTATTTTCAATGTTCAAAAGGAACAACAAACTTTAGTTTAGTCCTTAAAATTTTTAATTTTTGCATTATTTGATCCTTATTTTTTAAAATTTATGTATTTCAGTCTTAAACTTTATTTTTATCATTTTCAGTCTCTAAATATTGAGAAATAAAAGAGAAATTCACTAAAAAAAAAGAAAGAGAAAGGTTTTGGATGGCCACAAAGGGATAATTTTAATGTCAATTGGTTCATCTT